TCATTTTAGTTTTGTAACATTAAATAAAAAAATAAAAAATTCCCGATCCCCGATTTTTTTCTCCCGATTCCGATCTTTTGAAAATCACGTGATCGGCTCCGATCCCCGTTCACGTGATCGGATCGGGACATCTCTAGCTTGTTTGTCTTTATCCGAATGAATAGAAAAATCATTTTCTCAATTTCTTTCTGCTTTCTTTAGAGGAACAACGCCTTCTCTATTGTACACTTTCATGTCTGCAAACTGCATTAGGATCAGTCATTGGGGACTGAAAGCCTTTTGTCTGTCTGTCTGTTTGTCCAGAGGTTGCTCAACTCTCTCCTCTTGAATCTGGTTTGTTCTTTGTCTTACTCCCCTCAGGGTCTGAAGGCTTGTCTTCTCCCAAAAGCCCTCTAGGTTTGCAGGACTGGTAGAGTCTCCCTTGTCTATTACTTATTGAGTTACTGACCCTACATCAGCATTTTCAAAGCAATGGGCTGCTGCTTTTCTATTTCTCCTGACCTTCAGTGTACTCTCCTTTTATTGGTTTGACTTGTACCTCCGAGGTACTGTCTAGCACCACATACCCTCTTATGTCTTTGTTTCCATTGCTGCAAAGCTGCTACAATATTTCATTTCTCACATAGAGTGTTAATGTGTTGTCAATTTGGAACCATCTTCGGTACTTGGACTTCTTTGCTAGTATGTTTGTATGCTACTCTTCCAAGAAATCCCTCTGCAATGCCAATGAGTCAGTATCATGATTTTCACCTCGGATTCTTTCGTCGATAGAGTTAATTGAATTTGCTCTTTTCTTGTTCAGCCAAGGGGGCTTTCACTGCTCTAGATCCTGTAACAACTAAGAGCTATTTCCATCAGAACAGAGTGTTTGTTGCTGTTGTCAACGATAATGCATCACTTCCTACCTGCAGCAGACTTTAGCGAAACAAATGTTTTTCAATTACATTTACTTCCATTTGACCATCTGGTAAGTTTTACTGTTGCTACAATGAGATAAAGCGCCATTTTTACAACGTAGGCAGACAACCACACCCTGACTAGAACTAAGTTTGGCTCTCCTCATAAGACCACATGGAAATGTGTGTGACGGGAATATGAGTTGTCCGTCTGTCTCTTTCTTCCTGGTTCATTCTCTCCTTCTGTCTTTCTCTCTTTTTGGTTTGCTAAGCTAGTGTGTGTGTGTGTGTGTGTGTGTGTGTGTGTGTGTGTGTGTGTGTGTGTGTGTGTGTGTGTGTGTGTGTGTGTGTGTGTGTGTGTGTGTGTGTGTGTGTGTGTGTGTGTGTGTGTGTGTGTGTGTGTGTGTGGAGGCTACACGCAGCAGCTGTCAGATTGTGTGTGATGCGGTGTCAGTCAGCTATCAGTGGTGATGTGAGGTTAGGCTGATGAGTAATGCTGTTGCATCATTCTGGAGCCAGATGTGGAGAGCAGCATCCATGTGGTGGAGCAAAGAAACATATTTGGTGATGACGGATAACAAACTGGCACTTGTTGACACCACTTCCTGTCCGCTTAAAAATTGTGTCTGTGATTGGCTAGTTCAGAGTGGAGTGAAGACAGGAGACTGCTAATATAGCATTGTGTTGCAGACTGGAAACATGGGCTGTAAGAGCGGTTAGTCACAGCTAATACATCTCATTATCCAGCACTGCTTTATAATCACCCCGCTTATTTTTAAACTCTGGACATTTTATTATATGATGAGTGAATAAGAATAGCAGTGCTCACACTCATTTGATTCAAAATGTGCCTTGTGTTTTAAGATGATTCTCCTCATGACAATATAATTCAATTTCTTCCAGCTGTGAGTTTCATTCAAGTCATAAAATCCACATCAGAGCACATCTACTGTGGATTCAAAGATGAGTGAGCTCTGTCCACTACAGGAAATGCAGTGCATGCTTCCTGTCTCTTCGCTGCCCTCTCCTCCATACAAAGAGTTCACAGTCATCTTGAAATAATCCCGCCCTTTCACTCTTTAATTGTGTGTGTGTGCGTGTGTGTGTGTGTGTGTGTGTGTGTGTGTGTGCGTGTCTGTCTGTCTGTGGGTTGGGGAATTCCTGTCAAAACCATTAGGTCACTATTCTTCCTTATTAGCCCCGGCATGAATGTTGCTGAAGGAGTGAATGCAGATGAGACTGAACCACGAGATTGTTTGTTTTTGCCGATATCCCAACATTAAGATTATATATATTTAGAAGCAGACATTTTTTGTTTTGCTTTAAAAATGCTAGCATATGTTAACTTAGTTGGTGTGTCATTGCAAGTTGTAAGAAGAAGCAAATGATGTCTGACGCTATATTGGCATTTGTCATGTTCTGAGAATTGAAGAACTCATTGTTTTTCATACTTTTTCAAAATGGATTCTAAATGTAATCGGGGCGGTACTGCATAGCCAGTAATCACTAGAGATTAGTGAGAAAACATGTTATTTGTACTTTGGGTGGACTGCCTGTAAACCATCAGGACTGTAAGCAGCACATGTAAAGCAGACAGTCAGCCCTTCTCAGCTGCGTCTCCTCGGTCAGACGTGCCACTGCATTCCTCCAGATGTGCCACGTCTTCCATGTGTGATAGCAAGAAGGTTTTTTAACGGCACCACACAGGCTTGTATGCATCATACTCTACCACATTCTTGTTAACGTTGCATTCTGCAGTGAGTGTGCAGCGGACGGCAAGCCTTCAGATGCTTTGGGTACAATGGGGAGGGGTAACCAACCACACATCATTATGGTGTAAATGCAACACTGTTGTTCTTTGTTGGCGTTCTCTGATAATGTGTTCATAGTGTGTTGTTTCAGTGTAGCATCTAAACACAATATCTATTCTGTCTATTTCCATGATATCTGATATAAGACATCCATGATGTAACCATGGCGGGTGAACTTTTCTAAACATAATGTAACACGTTAACTAAGCAGAGGATGCTGATGATATAAACATGAGATACTGAGAACGGCCAGTGATGGTTTGATTGGATTTGAGGAAATCACATATTGCATTTTTTCTCCCATCTGTAAACCCTGTCTCCTCAAATTGAGTTATGTTATTATGAGTTATTCTCCGAGAGAAATGAAAACATTTTGGGAAATGTAATCAGTTTAAAGATATAATTCAGTTAAGTGTCGATTTGTTTCTTATGGTTATTATTTTGGGTGATTTCATAATCATATGCAAATATCAATAATCATATCAATGGTCATTTAATAATAACGCCTTAGTTATGTGCCATTGATAATGTATTATGACAAACAGAACTATTTGCATAAGTCTGGTTAAAGTGGAACATACCACAGAAAGAGCTTGAGACAAAAATGTTTTCAAAATGCACTTATCTTTGACTACATGTTGGAGCAGATTACTTATATCACAGTCCTACTTTGTAGCCGTTTTAGATTTCCTCATTAAATGTTTGAAATATCAAATAAAAAAATGGTTGGATATTCTGAGTGGTTACTTTGAAGATAACTGATCCCTTTTACTTCAGACAGCTGTTGCTTTGGTGTGGTCATGATCCAACAGCTTCCTGTGAGGAGCTGTCAGAGGTGTGTAGTTGATTAAAATGTTACCCATGGGATTATTGAGTTGGTATACCAAGTACTTATGAGGTCAAGTGAGTAAAAGCTTAGTTCAATAATCTTTAATTCCCTCTCTGATGGACTTTTCTTGGCACTTTCTGCACATGAGAGAGCTCCTGTTATTTTAGTGCCATTCGAAACCTTTGGAATTAATTTAAACCAGGGTATAATTAAGCAAATGCAGCAATCTTACCATGTTTTTAGTTGGGTTTGTTTGATTTTTAGGGTTTAGGAAGATCACATTACATTTTGGAGCAGATCAGATCACGGGGCAGATACATAATAAATTACATATGTTGTTCTTGTTATCATCATCATCTTGTGACAGTATAAACATCTAATTTATGCACAGCTACTTTTGGCTGTTTAGCCGGTGTCTCCTTTAATATGCATCAATCCCAGAGTCAGTTAGAAAACGGCCATTAAGATAACAAGAGAGACGACCGTTTGCTCTGCTTAATGTTGGTCCTTGGCAGTTGGAGAGTCAGCGTGGCTGGCTCTGATCTCCTTTCCAGCTCTTCTGAAAGAAAGCGAGGGGAGGAGGGGAGGCAGCAGGGAAAATAAAGGGAGGCCGGCCAAAATTCCTACATCATTTCCTCCTGTAACATCTGGCAATGATCAGGGCAGACAGAGAGAGAGAGAGAGGATGTTTCTCACTGGCTGGCTTAGTGTTAATTTTCAGGCGTACACAGAGGCATCACATAGCAGACCGCCCACTCAACCTCATTCCCCCTACCAGCAAAACACTGTGAAGCAAGATGGAGGGTTTCATTTGGTGGTCTCTACCAAGCCCCCATGAAGTGTGCCGGACTCTGTGCCCAACATTCGTTGTGTCCAAACGGCGGGAGGCCTACTGCAACTTCCGTATCAGTCCGTGACGTCACCCGGCCCAATACAACTTTTGCCCATTGACTAACATGGGGAAAGAGACGTCAGCGGATACTTCAGCGGATACTTTTTTTTAAACTACCCAGTATGAACTATGTTATAGCCCTTATTATAATCATTAAGTCCTTAAAGTTGTAAAATGCACTAAAAGCCGAATCTAGATTGATTTTCTCTCTCCATTCATTCTAGTGAGCCGAGAGTGGGAGTTCGGGGGGCGGGGCTTAGGGGGCAACTCAATTGCGCATGCTCTAGCCAGGCATGACGGGTAATCTGTGACGTTTCGCTCTCTCAAAAGTTGGGCCATTTTGACTTCATGCGCCAATGAGCAGCTCTCATAGGAAAGAACGAGACCCCGCCTCCCACGCTGTATCCAGTTCTTATCCATGGTCTCTACCCATCTCTCTTTTTCTATTGTTTTCCTTTACACACATCTTGGGTATTTATATCATGTTGCAAAGAAATACATGGTTTTTGTTTGCCTACTTCTGTGAGTACAAATGAGAAATAATAGCTTATCCTTCCTTCTTCTTTTCTCAGGATGGCCTATAGGCGTGTTGTGTTGTCAGCAGTCGATCGGCAGTGAGCTACCTGGACCAGAGGTGTGTACAAAATGTTATTATCCAATATTTAAAAGCAACTTGTTATAATGTCTTTCTACTAATACAAGGCAAAATAAGCTCTTTCAACCCTAGGACCAGGTTAGCAAATATCTTAAATACTGTTATTTAATTGTCTAACATTTAGCCAGGTTGACTTTGATAATGGAACAACAGTGGCATTAGGTTTTCCTTTAACCCCTCAACATGCAAACGTATGTATTGTCTTTTATTTACTTGTTTTGAGAGGGACAAACATGCCTTTATATTTAATCCTTCGTAGTTTATTTTTTACTATTATTCTTATTGGTTCAACAAGAAAGTGTTCCTGCTATTATTTTTATATTGTTGTCATTATGTCCTTACCAGATTGAGAATCTCTGTAGATATGACTTTGTTTAGATGATATACTAAGAGATATGAGATTCTGAGACGTAGGATCATTCTGAGAAACGTTCCATCAGCTGTCTTTATAAGATGTGTCAAATGTATGATTATATAATGGTATCGGGGCAATTGTGCTAGCAATCTCATTCAGATATGTTATGCCTTAGCAGCATTTGACACCTGTGGACTGCAGCTAAATGAATAACTGCGTATATTGAACTTATACTGATTTGCTTTTGTCCTCAAAGGTGTGTACCAGCGGCAGCAGCAGGTTGCAGATATGAGTGTGACCTCGTGGTTCCTGGTGAGCAGCGGGGGGACTCGGCACCGTCTCCCCCGGGAAATGATCTTTGTCGGCCGGGATGACTGCGAGCTCATGCTACAGGTGAGAACACTTTACAAACCAGTTCCTCCACTGACAGCAGCTTTAAGAAACCACAACAGGCAAGACGTGCTGTTGCCTTTTCCCCTTTTCTCTTTTTATTCAGCCCATCCTTATTAAAGTAAACAAAGCAGCTTGAGTATTAAAGGTACAGAGATATTATGATATCCAGAACCCACTGAGCCTGACACTCATGTTAGGGGTTCCTCTCAGGCACATACATAACCCCCTGTCCTCGCAGAAGTCTGTTTCATAAGCTCAGTGTTTACTGTATCTCACTGAGCACACTACAAATCAGCCCTCAATGTCTCTGTGTTGCATTTACAGTAGCAGAGCATGTTTATAGGTCATTATGTTGATGTGTGAGTGTGTCTGTGTCTGTGTACCGAGGTGGTGTGTGTGCAGCTGTGCATACATCAGGGCGACCATGTTTATTCTCATGTGTACCTCTGGTCACTTCTCTATTAATAGAAGGTGGGGCAGATGCCCCCTGACTTAGATCTGATCTGGCTGACGCTGAATCCATGGCAGTGGTCTCTGTTATGACATTTCATGTTGAGAAAATATTTGATGGGAAGCAGTGACTTTCTGAGAGTCTAACTGTCAAGAAAATGTTCAAGACTCTTACTGATACTTATTCATTTGAATGTGTCAGTGGAAGTTAGTCTCACTTTTCAGATTGGCCTCTCTATATTATGAAAAGACTCTTCTAGTGTTACCATATTAAATAAGATTGATTTATAGCTTTCTGCTTTCTATAGAGCACTTTGTAAACTTATAAAAACAGCCTTAGCTTTAAAAGATAAGACCATCTGTTTTCTAGGTATAATTTAGTCTGTTTTTTTATTACAAAATCAAAACTTCAAAAATATTTACACCATTTTGGGTTTTCTGGGTTAAACAGTCTTAATAATAAATAATAATAAATTCTATTTATTTATTTAACTTCTGCCAAGACAAATCCCGAAGCGCTTCACAACAGACGACACTGATCAAATTGAAGAGATAACAAGTTAAAAATAAATAAATAAAGATAGCGATAAAAATGGCAGTACTCCAGGTGTACCATGATACAAGTTTATTGGAAGGCCTGCCGAAAGAAGAGGGTCTTAAGGCCGGTTTTGAAGACCTCGGTGGAAGGGGCAGATCTCAGCTGATCTGGGAGGGAGTTCCAGAGGCGCGGGGCGAATGAGCAGAAGGCTCGGTCTCCCATTGTCCGGAGACGTGTGCGGGGGATGTAAAGAACAGGAGCGTGGCTGGAGCGGAGAGAGCGGGTAGATGTCTGGGTACGGATGAGGTCACAGAGGTATTTTGGGCTTTGGCCATTCAGGGCTTTGTAAGTCAGGAGCAGAACCTTAAACTGGATCCTGTAGTGGATTGGGAGCCAGTGTACTGTAGTTCGGCAAGTATGGGGGTTATGTGGGCGGACCTTTTTGAACCGGTGAGAACTTGGCCTCTTATTGTGGCCAGCCTAAGGCACACCTGTGCAATAATCATGCTGTCTAATCAGCATCTTGATATGCCACACCTGTGAGGTGGGATGGATTATCTCGGCAAAGGAGAAGTGCTCACTATCACAGATTTTTTCAGATTTGTGAACAATATTTGAGAGAAATGGTTATTTTGTGTATAGAAAATGTTTTAGATCTTTGAGTTCATCTCATGAAAAATGGGAGCAAAAACAAAAGTGTTGCATTTATATTTTGTTCAGTGTATGATGTCCTGTGAGGAGCAGAAACACAAGCAGCCCGCTGGACTCACATCTCTAGATACCTCATCACTCCTCCGCTGCTCCGATACAAGTCCGGGGCCCTTTCTCATCTTATCAAATCCCCCTCTTCGACTACTCGGTCCTCCGGTAGTGACCCGGAAATGAATTTCAGCGCGCCATGTTGAAGGACATCTAATTTCTCTAAATGCACTTCGAGCGTCGAGGAGGCTCTCTGGAGGAGCTCTAACCGAGGATACACTGATGGGTCCTCCACGGTCCTCCACGGTCCTCCACGGCTCCTTCGTGGATGCATTTCCGGGAACAGAGATGTTTCAAAGAGTCGTGACGCACGTCCGGACTTATCTCAGCCAATGACAGCTCTGCATGCATCCCCTGGATATTATTTTATTAACTGCTTTCATCGCAACGTGATGTTTACAGTGAGAACAGCTGTGAGGTCCGTGCAGAAAGCAGAGCAGTGTGTATAATATATATCACTCAGTATAACAGGCCTACTCTTTTTATTTGCTTTAGTTTAGTAGATATCTACAAAGAGTCGATATTTTTCTAAAACCATTTAGTGCTTCACATAATAAAATACACAACGGCTGTAGCCTGTTATTGTCTCATTATACCGCACTGTGAATTAATTACAAATAAATATATAAGTCGTCATGAACACATCTGTCCATCAGGCTGTGCCTCCTGTCATCATTAATGGACGTCTCTTTAAAATTACCGCTCAGAGGAGAGGAGTTCTCATTTCTCTAACCGCCTGCTGCTTCCCCTCCTCTCTCCTCGGTTCCCCTCCTCGGCTCCTCTGCTCGCATCTCCTGTGGGGGGGACTAAGTATCGAGGATAGGAGTCGAGGAGGGGAGTTAGAGAAATGAGAAAGGGCCCGGGCTGCGGTGGTTTGTTGATACATGTCGTCTTCTTCTGTTTGCTTTAATCGAGGCTACGTAGTTATGCAGCGCCCCCATCGGCAGTAAATGGAAGTTCTACAAAATACCCCGTGTAGTGCAATTATTTCAAAAGTTTTGTTATATACACAGCTCGGAAAAAATTACCGAGGTCCGCACCTCGGTGACCTCAATGGTGGATACGGCCCTGCATGTGACTGCTTAAACGCGCCAAGGCAGAATAATACACTAAATGCTTGTAGAATTATCTGCTACTGACCACAACCTCTGGCCTTGTGAGCAGGTTAGATTTGACTGTGTTTATGTATGTATTAAAAAGGGGAAGGAGTGTAATAAATACAGGTACACAGTCTCCATGATGTCAGTCTAATTTCTGTCTCCCAGAATGATATCCTCTGTCTCACAGCTCTTCTCTGTTTGTGTGCTCTTGTTTCCTTGGTAAATCAAATGTACCTCATGTCATTATCAGTTTTAGATTTTCTGTTTTTACTCACTTTGCACTTAATTAATATAACTCAAACAAGCGCATTTTGGGAGTTTTTAAACGTAGTTTATTTTGACCTCAAATGTGTTCACTTTGCTGACACTCACTTTTAGTTACATTGAGCTATCTGTATTCTGAGTTGCCTCTGCACATATTCAGTCAGTCAACTCAGCGGTTTATCGGTGTGTAACTACAGGAGTCTGTTACATCCTGCGCTGAGAGGTACAACAAGCAGATCAGTTGGTTTCTATCCTGTTTGATCTAGCCTAATCTCACTAAAATAATCTGTTTGACGGTTGGCTCTCTAAAGCTGCTTCCCTTGGGTTTACTTCAGCAACAAATCAGCCATTTTCTAGAGCCTTTTTATTTGAGTATGAGATCAATACGTGTTCCAGCTGAGCTTTCAAAATCATTCACTGACTTCAGCATCATAGTCTTATTCTTGCCTGAATCTTCCTGCGAAAATAACTTTTTATCTTTTTTACTTTTACCCCCAAGCTGTTTAAAATGTGTGATTCATGATGAGTGAGGCAAAATGACTCGGTTGCACAACACATCAGAACAGTTAAAGGAATTACTTGATGGACGTCATATCCCATATTTATTGCATGTTATCCCTGTTTGGTCACGGGTGGAAAAAAGAAGGCTGAAATTTAAAATCCAGTATTTTCTAATAATGACCGTATCACTAAAAATCTAAAAATGAATGTCTTACTGTTCATACATACATTTGAATCTGAGGAGAACACCATCTATTTTCATCATACATTGTTTGTGCTTGGAACTATTTATCCTGATAACAGCTGATCTGAACACCGTAGCAAACCAATATCTTATGGTTGTGTGTGTGTTGTGCTGTGTCAGCGACATTGAAATACCTTCTGATATGCATCGTGTTGATATCTTAGAAGATATCCTTCAAAGTTACAGTGAGGATCACTATCAGAAAACATTCTAGAAATTGGATGCACTTACCTTCACAAAGAGGCATCATAGCACATTCTCCTTCAGTCACAGCCTTTAATAGTTTTCTAAGAAACCTTCATGGTCAGGGTTACACTGTTTGATGTCCTGATGAAGCACATGTAACCATATGAGCAGTCTGAAGACATTTTGAAAAATAAGCACTATTGAAGGTCACCTATTATGCAAAATCCACTTTTTTGTCTTTTCTACATCAACATGTGTCTCTGTGTAAAGAGATTCTGAAAGTTTCAGGAAAAAAGATTCTCTCACTTTTTGTCCTGATCCATTTCTATAAAAACCTGTCTGAAAATGAGCTGATCAGATTTTGGCCACTTTATGATGTCATAACGATTTATTGGCTTGTGTAACCATTAGCCAATCAGCAACCAAGGTAACCCCCCCCCCCATATCACCTGAATCTCCTCCTAGAGCACCATTGTGTTCTTTTTAACCAAATATCTCTCAGAGGGGCGTGGGGAGGGGCTCCTTATTTTCATCTAAAGTAACAGACAGAGAATCCGCACTTTGGAAACAGGGCTGAAACAGAGGGGATTATGGGATGCTGCAATGATCTGTTTGGTATTTCAGCCAATCAGAGACGGGTTCTGTATATATCTGAGACCTATAATAAAGTAATGAAAAACAGTATAATAGGGGACATTTAAGATATCAAAAGTTACCGCTTGGTTAATGTTTAATGTTTGTTTTTGTTTGAAGTCCCGCAGCGTGGATAAGCAGCATGCGGTCGTCAACTATGAGGCTGGGACAGACGAACACAAGGTCAAGGACCTGGGCAGCCTGAATGGGGTGAGTACACACTTAGAAATATGCAAAACAGAGAGCGTTTAGGAGAGATTAAAGGAACAAACCGAACAAAGAAGATGACAAAATAATGGAGGAGAGAAGGAGGTCACATGATGGATGGGGAGAGATAAGAGTTTAACCTGCCGAAGGTGGAATAAAGAGGTTTGGAGAGAGAGATAGGGACTGCAAAGACGGAGAGAAATCAGGAGGTAGAGAGGGAAAAAAGGACGTTGAAGGGTAGAGAGCTGAGGATTAGAGGTTAACGTTTTTTGGCAGTCAATAGGATCTTTTATTTTACTGCTGCTAATCAATCTCCCAGTTAATGAAGATGTGTATCACGGCTGAGGTCAATACGAATCTAATCCTAATTATGCAAATCACCACTTTAGGGCAAAACCTTTAAACAAAGGGAAACTAAAACGAATCTTACTGTTATCACATGATTTGGTCAAATGTGAATACCAGCAATGGAATTTCAGCTGATTATCAAAAGCAATATTGTGATATTATTCACAATTAGATTAAAAGGGGCGGTTTGAGCAACATATTTTTTTTCTTGTTTTTTTGTGAATCAACTGAGAGTTAATTTTTTTTGTTCTTGTTTATAGCAACATGAGCTGTGCTCTTCTGTAGTGGTCTCCGTTGTGAAACGTACCAATAAACCCAGAGGAGTCCCCTGGGTGCTCTAAGTGTCATCGCTAACATCTTTCTAGCACTCTAGTTTTGGGATTTGGTTTGAGAGTTGTTCGTGTTGATTCATATTTTTGGACTGTCTTAGACCAAAGTCCCCATGTAAATTGAATTATGTATCTTAAACATACAAAGCACAAATGAGCTCTTTGACTTGGTAGGAAGAAACACAAAGTAAAAGTATGTAGTGTACAGCAAAATGTTCTCTGTGTCAGTTTTTATTATTATTTATTGCACGGCTTAGGCTAGTTGAAAACTCGTATTATGTATTACACAGGATACCAAATAATGTTTGTATTAGCTAGCTTTACAGATGTTACGCTAGGCTAGTAGATTCCCTTTGGTTTTAGCTTTATGCTAAGCTAAGCTAACATCCTCCTGGTTGTAGCTTCATATTTAATGAACAGACATGAATGGGTGTAGATTGTCGCTTTTCTACTGCAGTCTCTTACCCTCTAAGTAGTTGTGGATACATGTAGAATATGTGCAGTAAAACCTGTTTACAGTGGCCACATGCTGTTAGTCATGTGTAGTGATAAGCAGTCACAGCCCAACAGATCGGACACATCCTCTCCAGCTCTCAGACAGGAAGTGGGAGTCAGAGCTCCTTCCTGCTGTGTCATTAACCATTCAGCTTCTTTGGCTGCATTCAGAGGAAGTGTTTTCCTGCTGAGTCAGCGTATATAAACAGATTTGTCAGAGTTGTGAGAAAAAAATCTGTGTGTTGAGGATTGTCACCCTTTACTTCTCTACTGATGTTTTCAGTACGGGTTGTATAGTTCTCATGAACCAGCTCACCAGAGAGGAGGCAGGAATGTTTTTATTACAACAGCAGTGCAAGTACAGTATGATAGAGTTTCACTTGCAGTTCAGTGAAACCTGATCTGTCTCAGAGCTGCATGATGGAAGGAGGGCTCAAAGGGGGAATGGGAGTATGCGATCATAATAGATGGGAAAGAAAACAGGCAGGGAAAGACATGCAGTGTAGTTCTAAGGCCTTTAGTCCTGGCTATGCAGACTGATTTAAAAAAGACACCAGGATCAGATGATTCAACTGTTGGCATCATGCAAACTAAGACCTTAATCACATGCTTACCGTTGTCAAATGACCATCTTCTTTTTGTCTTGCCTTGTCTTTCCCCCTGCAGACCTTTGTTAATGATGTCCGCATCCAGGAGCAGATGTACATCACTCTGAAGTTGGAGGACAAGCTGCGGTTTGGATATGATATCCTTTAACTTTTCACTGAGCAAAATAGGTAGTAAAATAATACGTAGATGCTTTTTTTGAAAGGTTCTGCATAACAATAGAATCATTTACAGCTTGCAGTACTAAATGGTTATATGCATCTCTGTGTTATTTGTTATATATATAGTATATCTTTGTTTATAAAACGGACAAGTCAAATCAAGCAATCTGATTGGTTCTTAGCCGTGATATAATGAGCGTATATCACGGGTAGAATTGTAGTTACTTTTCATAAGTCATGTATCCCTCCGCGTCTGAGAAAAGCTACAACCGTTACAGCTGTTACATTACGTCCGTTACGAAACTAACTAACAAAGCTTAAGATGGAAACATTTAAGTGGATTGAGCAGTGCCTATTTCCAGAAAGAAAAGCACCTAAACGACAACATGCAGAGCTACGTGAAGAGCAGGTAGACCAACTGGAAAAGTACCACCATTCAAAAGCTTTCTGATGCGGGTCTTGAAACAAAGCGGAGAAATTATGACCGTTAGTGGCCACAGGTGAGAAAGCTCTCTCCAGAGCTACTGGAAGCCGAATCTCGGGGACCGGAGAAAGTGGAGCAATATTCTCGCCACGCCAAGCAACAGCCTAGAACAACCTCAACCTATACAAGTAACCACGTAAGCCATGCTACTGATGCTGGACAGGTTTTCAGTGGCTGCACAATAAACAGCAACATTCAAATGAATGTAAATAAATAGCCAAATAATCGATCAACGCTCTCTGTCTAATATGTTCGCTAGCTGTTAGTGTTGTTGCATTAGTGTATGTTTTGTGCAGAAAAAACTATTTAAATTAGAGTGTGTTTTTTTCTTTCATATTGCCACACTTGGTAACCGTTTTATAAAAGCAATAGCTCACTGCAGGCCGTGATATATGGTCATTATATCACAGTTAGGGGGCGTGGCTCGGCCCGACGCGAAGCGGTATAATGACCATATATCACGGCCTGTGGTGAGCTATTGATTAAATATACATGTATCATAATTGTGCTATTATGGCTAGTATTTCCTTAACCTGTCTGTCTCACATACCAATCTGTTCACGGTGGTGAGAGGAGAGCTCACTGTGCCTGAGGAGGCTCTAAAGGTAAGAACACACACACAGCCTTTGCCTTAACACACACTGTCAAGGAACCATCTTCACCAGGACACACAGTTGTATTATACTACTAACATCTCCAACTTATATTTATTTTCTTTATCCTCTTAAGCATGAAAAATTCACCAGCAGCCTCCAGCTCAGCAAGAAGCCGCCCAGCGTTGAAACCACTTCCACCACAACCACAAGCAAGTCCCCCATTAAGACCCCAACAAAGACACCAAAGTCTCCCAGCAGCACCAGCACCCCGAAGCCAGCGGAGAGGAGTCCCACAGACGGGGTGACTTCCTCCAAAGAGCCAGCAGCTAAACCTGTGGACTCACACAAAGCAGAGGAGAGGTTAGCAGGTGAGAGACAGTTTGGAGAGGAAGTTGAGACAGTATAAACAGTATATCGCTGTGTTGGTCTGATTACACTCTTTTTCTTGAAAATGTAGATCTATTGACTGCTATCACAGGGCAGTCCTTTCTCATTTTACTTTAAAATATACAAACAATACCTTAAAGTAAAATGTTCCATCTTTGAAAATGCAATAAAAAGGTTAGTATGTAACATCCCATATACCTTATTATACCCTATACTAACACTTCATAATGTCTTATTGTACATTCATCTATGGAAATGTGTTCTAAACAATGTACTAAGACTAGTTAAATACAAAGTTTACTGTTCCAACACAAATTGATGTTGTATTATGACTTTTTAAAACCCCAAGAAAATAGGATTGTCTGTTCTGCAACTCCAAAACAGACATTTTCATCACATGCTCTTTAAGAATTGTAGGCTGAATTTCTCCACTTACAAAACACATTTTCAGGAGAGTACAGTGAAATTAAGAGTGGAGGGATTTGATCTCAGGCCAGTAGGGGGTAGACATGGTCACCAGGGAAACAGCTTTACCCTCCACACCAACATGGAGTCACTCTGTTGCAACATTAAGACGGTTTAGGACTGTAGGCGTCCCTAATAATCAACATCACTGACCAGGCTGGGGGGCTAGCAGGGGTCCCAGTTAAGCTCCAGATGTTGAAACAATGCCACTGGGGCTTGTGTTATTGCACAGATTAAGCAGTAACAGGGTCAGAGGGCCCACACAATGCAAACCCATATGCCAGCACTACTTGTTTTAAAAAGCTGTAGCATTTAAAGGCTTGGACGTAACCAAAAACACGCTAACATGCACAAACGGTGTAGCATGTCTCCCCATCTGCTGCTCATGCTTTTAATGACACCCCCTCTGTGGTCTGTGCATGTAATCCTGCAGTGTTGCTACTGTAACACCAGGCCTCACCCAGATATTAAACCTTATAATGAGCATACTTTACGTAGCTTTTATATAGAAGGCCCCCTTATATACGCATGCAATTTGGCACACAGCATCTATAATTATTTGCATATGCTGTAATTAAACGTGCGGGATAAGGGGTAATAAAGAAAAAAAATGGTAAGGAAGAGGAAGAGCGAAAAGTTAACACACGAGGAGACTTCCTTCAGTACAGCGGTTTATCCCACAACATTAAATCCAACTGGGGACCTTTCGTTGCATGTCTTTCCTCAGTGTCCCTCAACTGTGTCACTTTTCTTCTGTGCTGTCCAATTCAAAGACATAAGTAACCACAGGATGCTTGTCCCATGGCAGCTTTCATTCTAATGGGGACAGAAAAGGAAACGGAAAGTCCCTCTTCAATTGAACCGCGTGTGTCTGAGAAACAGAGGGAGAGAGAGAGTATGATAAGAGAGTGTGTGCACGTGTGTGTGTCCATCCTGCTGGCTAAAGTTGTAAAAAATAGGTCAATGGTGCATCCAGAGGGGAATTCATTCAGCAAGATACACAAACACAAAGGGCAGCTGGGTTCACTTTGTGTCATCCTACAATAAACGGCTTATGTCAAGAGTATGGATGTAAAGTCCATAATACATGTGCTAAATATGACAGGCTGCAATTAAAGCTATATTTAAATGTGCACAGGCTTTGTTAAATGTGTCTGCATCTGTGTGTCTGTTTTAGGGGATGCTGCAGCGCTGCCTCGTGGGACCCCACTCTACGGACAGCCGTCTTGGTGGGGGGATGGGGATGCAGATGATGAGAACTCCTTCAAACAGGAAATCAAGTCATCCAGCAAAAAACATGACAGCTCCATGTCAGGTAGGAGGAATTCTGTTTTTAAACTTCGAACTTCACACATGTCCTCATCAATGTATTTTTCATCATGAAGTGCACAAACCAAAAATAGTGGTTTAAGACATCTATCCCTTTTCCTAAAACAACAATGGTTTTAATCGAAGAAAGCTAGTTGACTGTCAAGTGATGCCTCTGTATTTGTTACATTTTTCTATCGATTTCTTAAAAGGTTTTGCATTGGGCTACAGACCATAATATCATTAATAACACTTTTACAGGACAACAACTGTTACAGTCGAGATTAATTGTTTGTTTAATTGTTTCAAAACACAATTATACAGTTCCTATATGAATATACAGAACAACATGGTGTGTTTTCTCTTAAAAGGCAAGGACGACAAGACACCGTTTTCATACAAAATTGGATTTAATACTGACTTCTTAAATGTCATTTTGACATATATAGTGGGATGAAACATCACATTTTTAACAACAGTCATCTTTACTGTTGTATATGTGAAAGTTACACATATCAGCATGTCTTTGAATATGTATTTTCTGCAAAAGTAAAGAAACATGTGTTATTTTGCAGTAGCTATATGGTGCTGTGTCACAAGCATTACATACTAAATTGAGCAATGCAGTGCAGATGCTTTTATCTCAGTAGCTTGATCTTCATGCCCTCTGGCTCACTTGATTTGCTCCCTGTTGAAAGGATAATGGCCAGCCGGGCTGTGTGTGTGTGTGTGTGTGTGTGTGTGTGTGTGTGTGTGTGTGTGTGTGTGTGTGTGTGTGTGTGTGTGTGTGTGTGTGTGTGTGTGTGTGTGTGTGTGTGTGTGTGTGTGTGTGTGTGTGTGGTACAATGTATATCCAAGTGCACACAAAGGCCTGTATGTTTCTCTGTTTGCCTACAATATGTGCCTGTATAGTGACCGTTAGGCGGGGGGGGTTAGTTGGTTCTGGATAGTCCGAGTAACAGGATTAGACGATACACCAATAGAGAAACAGCTCAGCGGTACAACATCAGTCTGTGCCAGGCTGGTTTCAGTGTGGACAGGGTATTCAGGGGGAGTGGGGGGAGGTCAATCATACACAAACATTGGAGCAGACTGGAGCGTCCTCAAATCTCTCGTCACATCTGGAGGGAACGTCTGGGAGCGTCTTCACCGGCCCAGAAAGGAATACTTTTTCCAGCTCTTAACAAATAGTTCATTTATTTCTTAAATCATTTTAGGAAAGTAATTTTCCGTTAGAATGAGATTAGAAAGGCATTTTGGAGGAAACCTGTGCACGCTTGTGAGGATGATTTGAAACCCCTAAAAGCTTTAAAAGAAAAAGGCAAATGGGATTGGCTACTTCAGTCATGGGAAAGGGTGAGTGGAAGTCATTTTCCGTCTTTGTTGTCATTGACTTTTCGACTTTTTGAGTGCTGAATGGCTGTTATGGATTTGTTGTGTGAGGCAGCACGCTCCCCAGGGGGTGTGTCACAGTGTATTTATCTAGGTTACATGGACCTCAGCATCAAAAGAAGATCTTATCAGCGTACACAATGTGAGCTTGACCTCTATATCTGCTCATACTGTTAACATCAGATACAGCAGCAGTGAAGGGGAAGTGAAAGAGAGGTTTTGGGAAGTAGGCGATTTAGTTTTGAGTGTGTTTTTTGTTGCTTGCATGTGAATGACAGTTAAGTTTAGTGTGTGTCCTTTTCTCCTCCGCATTGAATAGGCTGTGTTTGCTTGTGAGAGCCCCCTACCCCCTTCCTTGTGTATTGTCACTCACGCCGATTGGGTTACGCCATTGCACCAGCTCCCCCAACACACACACACACACACACACTCTCATGCACACTGCGTTCAAACAGCCCACTCTCTCAATCCATACTGCAGCGATCATTAGCTAAACCACTCTCTGATTCTCCGGTAAGTATTACTCTGAATTCCATATACTTATGATAATGAGGCTGGTAAAGAGTTGTCAATTTCAATCAACTTTTAATTAGTGCTCTTTGAAGAACTATTTGATCATTGAACTTGTTTAGGTCTTAAGTAAATAAGAATTTGAAAAGAGAAATCATATTTGAAGTCTGTCACACTTACCTTACAGGAAATGCCTTTATAAATGCGTTCAATACTCACAGGGTATCATGACTCTTTAATGCTGCGTCTGTTGTACATAGTAGACTTACAAATCAAAGCCGATTCCATAAAGCCTTGCATGTTTATGGTAAGCCAACAGAAAATAAATACTGCAGCACAGTCAGCATTAGTTTGAACTGTATTTATCTTATTAAACTCATTCATGAAACTCGTTGCTTTCCAAGCCATGTGATTTATGGGGGTGTGAGAGGAAGCTCTGATAGTATGTATACTTCTTTACATTAACTAAATGTTTGAGATACAGGAAGTTTAGTCATTTCTCCTGAACTTCTTAGGGTTGTTTTGTCTGTTTTTGCACGTTTGTTTTTGACATGTCAGTCTTCTTTGCATGGACTTTGGATTATAAGCATCATTGAACATTGTTGATCTCAAAATCCTGATATTTACAGTCAGTTTAAATCCATGTTGTAAATCTTCCAGCTTATGCTTATGCTGACAACCGCAGATTTCTCCCTAAAAAATGAGCCAAAGGAAAATGTTTAAGTACTAAAATGTAGTTGATAAACCGAGCGAAAATAAGCCTGAGAATCATATTTAGAGTATATATTATTTATGAGAAATACACTCTTTTATATTCTGCGATGTCAGTTTTCTTATCTTGTTGCTTTTTGCTAATTGCCATATGTTCCTCAGTTAGTCCCCAACATGAAGCAGATGGCCCCTCTCATTTCTGAAAGTCTCATTTATCATATTCAGATCCCACAAAGACTCTGTTTGTTAATATGACTAGATGAGATAACACATGCTCCATATTGTGAGGACCCCAAAGCAGATTAAAAAAAATCTCCACTAACGCTTTTTCTCCTGAGTGACTTTGTGACGTGTGCATCTATAAGCGATTGAGAGTGAAACTAAGAGACAAAAGGATACATGTATTTCTTTGTAGTATTTGTAGTTTATAGGCTGCATCCTCCCCCAGAAGGAGATAGTTATTCTGATAAATGGTGGGATACACTTGCTGAAGAGAGGGCCGTGATTGAATTGGTCCTTTGTTGGCTGAGTTTGACCCTTCACCTTTGGATCTTGATAATGAATTATAGCATTCAACTGTGACATTGAAGCAGTAGGATGTCATGTTAGCAAACTAATACATTCTCAAGATTTATATAGAAGTTTGTATCAGTGAATATGAACTGATGAAAAGTGATGTTATGACAACTCGTACGATGATTGATAACACGTCTTACACCACTTTTTTGTTCTACTTGACATGTGACAATGTAATAGCGCTGATAACAATGAAACCTTGAATCATCAACCTTAGTAACATCTTTCCTTTTCTTGTATCCTCAGACAGCAAAGAGGCTCGTCGAGGGGATAAATCTAAACAGGACAGCCTAAATGCGTCGTCCGCCAACGATTCCAGTTACTTTGAGATGCCTACCAAGGAGGGTCACATCGCCAATAACGGCATCCATGAGGTTCCCACCAAGGACACAGAGGGCACTGCAGGTGAAATACTCCTTTCATTTATTCTGATTTATGGTGAATAAAAGAGGGAATGTATAGGTTATATTGTCTTTGTTAACAATTAAGAACTTTTGTGGTTTCTTATTACAGATACAATTCCACTCTTTCATTCATTTGTGACACTTAAAGGTCCCATGACATGCTTTTCTGGTTATTACCCGTCCCCTTGTGTGTTATGTAGCTTTTTCTGCATGTAAACGGTCTGCAGAGTCACAAACCCTCAAAGTACACCCTGTAGCGAGTAAAACTCTAACACAGAAAAGACCTGTCTATGCTGCCCCAGAACGCCTCGTTGGACATTTCTATTTTTCCATTGTTTACTTCTTGGGTATAATGACGTATTTCGGGTATAGTGACGTTACGTCCGCGGAGCCGTTACGTTTGGACCAATCCGTGGACTTCCTCACACACACACACTCGGCGGGACGTTGCGAGGCTCGCTGGTGTGGGGTCAGCGAGACACCGAGACACCGTGGAACTCAGCCTGGGCACACACACAAACTCCCAGCCAGGCTGCGGGTGTGTGTGTGTTTCAGGCTGGGTTTCGCTGTGTCTCGCTGTCTCGCAGACGGCCACTGGGCTCACCGGGAGGGGGGGGGGGGGGGCAGGAGCTCCAACAAGCCGTTTAGGACAGAGAGTGAACACACATACAGAGATGCTGTATGAGAAACCAATGTGAGTTTGGAAAATTGTACAATATACATTTATTTTAGTAGACCTCAACAATGGAATTATGATCAGTAGAAATGGCCATGACATGGGACCTTTAACATATTTACAGATTCATTATTACTCATTTGAGTTCTGTCAGGGTGACCTTTGTTATAAATGTGTTGTATAAGATAATTGATACACAACAGAAAAAAGGAAGTGGCCAATGTTTGTCATGCACAAACAGAGAAGCAATCATTCTGAAACAGAAACCATGAGCAGATTTCGACTGTATATTTTCATCATTTGATTAAGCCAAGAAGTCACAGTCATAAATGTTTTCCAATCGGATCACAGAAGACACAAGTTAATGCCAGGTCTGAATAGGATCTGTGACTGACACAACGTTCTGCTCCACAGCTCAAGGTCACGCCTCCTTCACCATAGAGTTTGACAGCACTTCTCCAGGGAAAGTCACCATTAAAGACCACGTGTCAAAGTTCACACCCGACCACCACAGGTCTCGCTCCAAGAAGAGTGGAGCAGGAAGTGGGGGAGCTTCAGGGAGGGACTTAAGCACGCTGCAAGCCGCCATGATGGCCTCAGAGAGCAAGGTGGCTGATTGGCTGGCCCAGAACGACCCGACTCTGGTGCGCAGCGAGTCCACGGAGGACGACAGCAAGAGCATCAAGAGCATCAAGAGCGATGTGCCGGTCTATCTCAAGAGGCTCAAAGGTACAGATTGCTTTCTTTTTACATTTCTACAGGTGTCAATTGTTTAAACATATTTGTTGTACGATTATCTTGTTCTCTACTGGCATATTGCGAAAAACATATTAAAGGTCCCCTATTATACTGTTTTTCATCAATATATTATAGGTCTCAGATATATACAAAACATGTCTCTGAAGTGTTTGGCTCCAAATACCAAACAGATCATTGCAGCATCCCATAATCCCCTCTGTTTCAGCCCTGTTTCCAAAGTGCTGATTCTCTGTCTGTTACTTTAGATGAAAATAAGGAGCCCCTCCCCACGCCCCTCTGAGAGATATTTGGTTACAAAGAACACAATGGTGCTCTAGGAGGAGATTGGGGGGGGGTTACCTTGGTTGGTGATTGGCTAATGGTTACACAAGCCAAGACATCCTTATGACATCATAAAGTGGCCAAAATCTGATCAGCTCATTTTCAGACAGGTTTTTATATAAATGGATCAGGACAAAAAGTGAGAGAATCATTTTTCCTGAAACTTTCAGAATCTCTTTCCACAGAGGGGACACATGTTGATGTAGGTGACCTTTAAGCCACCAATTCAATAAATAATACATGAATCAATACTACGTTTTACACCATAAAACTATAGGTATGAACGAACAGCTCCAATTCTAATAAAAAAATCTAATAACACAAACAAAATTGATATTTAGAACCTACTGAAACACAACCTTTAATATAGTTTATACATAGTGTATACTGAGACATACTCTACAGCTATTCAGGCAGCTCTTTAGGGTACACTAACGCAGCGTCCACACGGCGGCGTGCGTTGAAGCTTGCCGGCGGGCGTGTCTGAAACTCGACCAACAACCAATCACATGAATCTCCCGCCCCGGACACACAAGCACGCGGTTTGATTGGCTAGAGCTTGTACTGGCATATGATTAGATTAGCTGACGCTTCCGTCGAAGCTTCAAAAGTTGAACATTGCTCAACTTTTGAAGCGAGCAAAGCGAAGCGACGCTCCCACAATGCAGTTCGGCAAAGCGTGACGTCACCCCATTCAAAGTGAATGGGCAGAAGCGTTGAAGCTTCAACGCACGCCGCCGTGTGGACGGGCCGTAACATTGTCCAATAGAACCAATCAACTTAGCTTTGCAGTAAACCTATTTTTCTTTGTTATTTTTAGATTTGTCTTTTCCAGCTATTTGAAGCCGGGGTTGTTCTTTGTTAGGATCAGTGTTTTTTGGCAGTGGTAACCAAGCCAAGGGATTAGCTAGCAGACAGAAACATGTAAACCCCAATCTTCTCATCTGATATCCAATGATGAAGCTTAGCATGAGTAGCAAAGTACAGCCCCATTCAAAGAGATATTATCCAGTGAAGAGCACATAATAATAATAATAATAATAATTTCAATTTATATAGCGCCTTTCACGAAACCCAAGGACGCTTTACAATGGGAAGTAACAAAACAAAAAGTAATAATAAAGATACATAGGCTGAAATACATGACATACTCTACGCAAATACTACTTCATGGCAAGCCTTACAAGCTTTCGTTTTTATATATATATCTATATATATGATATCTAAATCCTCTCTGTTTACCTCTGTGGGCTTGTTGCTATGCATTCTTGGAGTAAGTTTAGAAATGTCTGTGACTTCATTTTTCTCTGCGTTTATTGCTACATTTATCAATTGCTGAGTAGGCTCCGTCTGCCGTGGAGTTTCTGTGATAATGTGCCATGCAAGGTGAAGCTTTGCTAGTCTCTAGTCTGCCGGTAAATCGACTTTATGTTTGATGCTAGTGTGGGGTTGACTACATGCTGGTCATGAGTTAATTAAATGCAGGCCAATTTATGTGTTGTTGACATGTGTGGGGGAAGGGAGCAGCAGACAGAAGCTGATGAAAATGGAAATCTGTGAAGCAGGAGTGAAAGACAGGAAAACTAATTCATTAGATGGAGTTAGAACTGCATGCATGTCAACTGGCTGACAGCAGGGTTCACCTGATGGATGAGTATGTTGCTAACTGACTGTCTCGCTGACTTTGGGACTGCAGTGTTTCCAACTGAAGCTGTGACGGATTGATACTTGATAAACTGACCCTTGGTATTTCAGTACATGTAGGAAAAGATGGACAGCAATAGCAAGGACGGACTGTGGTTTTGAAATGATTATGGGAGGAAATTACTGCAGGGACAGAGAGAAAAAAGGTGGTGGAAATGTGGGCTGAGTGAGGAGGAGAAGAGGGAGGGATAGAGGGCAGGTGGACAGCTGGATGGAACGCTGCCCATTGATGCTGGCAGGGGACATGTGAGCTGTGCAAAAACAGGTACGGTGGGGAGATGGCTGCGAGGGTGAGGAAGGCAGGAGAACCCTAATGTTACGCTGAGAGCAGCATTCGAGGCGTGACAGCAAAGGTGATTGGACAAAGAAAGGCAGAGGAGGCTTGTTGCCTGGACTGCAGTAAAAGCGGAAAGGGAGGTGGCAAAAGACAGAGAGAACAGCTTTTGGTAGATAGTTGTTATAGTAACAAAGATGGAAATGATGGCAGGAATAAGAGACGACACAGACATACAATTACAGATAGCTAAATCTAGCAGCGAACATCTCTTTGCGTCTGTGTGAGTGTGGAAGAAAAGCGTTTCAGCGCTGACGGAGGGTGTGTGAAGCACGTGCTGCTAGCGTTGTGTGTGTGGCTGAAATGCGTTGTTTCTGTGTTTGAGAAATGCTCAGCGCTGATTTGCCGACAAGCGGTGAAGCATGTGTGGTGTTGTCAAGGGTGTGTCGTAGAGTTACTAGGCAGAGGTTTAGCAAAGTAATTGAGAGAGGAGACATCTGAGCCAAAGCTTCCGATTGTAAGCATCAAGGTGAGTCTTTCTTTTGCTGCTAGAAGGACGATTTACAAGAATACATCTTCATACTGTCTGATATTGGTATCCATTTTGGAATATGAGCTGTCATGTGTTTATTATGGTAACATACGTGCATGTTCCATACCAATGAGATACGATTGTGATCAGTAAAAGGCTTTGAATGTGCGATCTGAATTATCTTTTTTTTAATGTTTTTTATGTTGATTAATTTTCAGTACATTGGTGCATTAGTATTAATTTGCAGTACATGTTAATGCTTCACAGATACATAAGAGTTACAAATCTGTCTGCATATTACTGCATTGTGTGTAATGATACAACACAACTCTGTGTATGCAATAAAGGTTGCATGTTTGCTTGTCTGTGGCTTTGCATGCATGTGAACTAAATGCATTCTTGTGTCTGATAGTTGTGTGTGTGTGTGTGTGTGTGTGTGTGTGTGTGTGTGTGTGTGTGTGTGTGTGTGTGTGTGTGTGTGTGTGTGTGTGTGTGTGTGTGTGTGTGTGTGTGTGTGTGTGTGTGTGTGGCCTGTAGCGGAGACAGAGTCCAGCTCCCCTGTGAGTCATGTCGGGGCGAGCGGGGCAGAGTGCCGGCCTCTCACAGATACCTCTGTTCTCCACTGCCCTGCCAACGGCTTCTTTGTCCGGACACACAGCATGAAGCCCTGCCTCTGTGTCACACTATCTGCTCATCTGCTTAAGCTACCCTAATGCTCTTTCCTGTCTTATTTCGGAGTTTTTTTTCTTCTTTTGAATGAAATGTATGCTGTATTACATTTCAAAGAGTGACAAAAGACAGGCGGCATGTGGAATGTCACAAATGAGCTGCAGACTCAGAAATATGCCCGAGGCCACAAAGCTATTGTGATACCGTAAATCCACAGTGTGTGTGAGACATATTAGAACAAGTAAGCCGCAGAGCCTGAGATATCATTACAGTTAGTTTGTAATATGCTCCCAAAGCTTGGATCCTACAGTTCCCATGCTAATTAGCTTCTTCCTGTCTTTCATACTAATCCGTCCAATTTGTAGAGCAACATTTCGGTGTAGATCTCAAGTTCCCAAGACCGAATCGAGATATTTTACATTACATTAGATGTCACTTGTTAGACGCTTTTATCCAAATCGACTTACATACTCAATACTGTGGGCAATCCCCACAGGAGCAATTTGGGGTGAAGGGTCTTGCCCAGGGACACAACGACATGCTGACTGCAGTGGGGTTTGAACCCTAACCCCGCTGATCCGAACACCAACGCACTAGGCCACTGCGCCACAGCCTCCCAGAGATAACCCTTCATCACGTCACTGTGACATCTCCTATAGAGCTTCAGAGGACTTTATACAACTTATTTTACAGGTTGAGCAGTACGTACTGTAACGAGTAATCCGATCCTCTAAAGTCACCGGAGTCCCCCCTGATGCATCATCTTGTCTAAGTTGGACCAATGTTGCACCATGCCAATTCTAGGTCCAATGTCAATCCAATCATATACAGTTAAGTACTATCCATACTTTGACTTTCAGGGAAGATCAGATGTATACAGAAAACACAATGATGCTAAACACAAACCTTTGGGATGAGTTTGAAACGTTGTGTCTGAAGGAAGCGTGTTTTCCGTGGTCATGTGGTGATTCCTCCTCTCTGAGACTCTGACTGACTGTTGGCTTGTTAAATGACTGGATGATTGAGTAAGTGGCTGTCAACTCTAGTGGCAATACACTACATCCCGAGACTCCTCCAGTGAGGAATTCCCACTTAATCCAGTTCTTCTCCTTTCCTATCCACCCTCCTCTTTTCTTCTTCCCCCATCCTTATCCTCCTTCCCCCTTTTCTTTCACAGTCTCCTTACTCCTCCATCCCTGAAGCCCTTTCCCCCCCTCCCACACACACTCTCATCCAGCTCTGCCTCCCCCTCCATGGTCTCCTCGTCCCCTCCCCCTTCCCGCTCTCTCGCTGGCAGTAGGCAGGGCCAGTAACCATGTGGGTGGCATGTCTGGATTAGCGTGGCACACTGTCTGCCTTCGCATAAAACTGAGAGGACATGCTGATTGGACCCAGACTGATCAAAATGTAGAAATGGCAGTTATGTGGTAGGTAAACCGGGCCCTGGGAGCTTAGGGTTTGTTGAGATAATTGAATGATTAGATGCAGGCCTCAGATGAAAGTGTGTAAGTCATTAAGACTGGAATGGTTAGTTAACATTTGTTTCTTGTTGAGGTATGGATCTGCTTTCAAGAAGATGTTGTTTTTCTCTGTGGTTTATACGGGACTTTTATGGGACCTTTTTCTTCTTCTTGGCTTGATTTGAGTGGACATCTGATTAGCCACACACATTGTTGTTCTGCACATTGCACAATACTGCTATTGTAGGAGCCATGGATGTCAGAGGTTGGGGAGTTCTGTTGGTTTTTGACTGTTTATGTTTTGGCATTGGTCTTTCTTTATTATAATATTATCTTTTTATAAATTATGGGTTGGATTAGTTGGGTCACATGGTTATGGGCGGTACTTATAGTAGATATAATCACCTGTGTGAGAGAGTGAGAAGGTCGCTGTAGACCACAACCTCTTCATAGCTGTATCCGTCTAAAAATATAAATGTTTGCACGTTATAATAAATTGATAAATTCCATTAAAGTACGATTTTGTTCAACGCATTTTTGGATCCCAGCATTCATTTTTGATCGCTTCTGACAGAGGAAACCAGGGCCGACCTCAGCCTCTCAGAGACTTTGTTTGTTACTGAAGTTGCTATAGCTACTGTATCTTTGTAAAATGGTCAAAACAGCTGTTATATGTCGCTATGTTACTGCTGTGTATGTATAGTATGATTTATATTTGAGCAATCTAGTAAATATAACATCCCCTTGGTTATTGGTTTAGGTTACAGTAAAAGTCAGCAATTCCAAGAGAAGCAAACGGATCTAACTGATATATATATATAAGACAGAAAAATGAATATCTCCTCCTTTTGTGTGTCCTAATAGACAGCAAGCATGATGATGGGACCCAGAGTGACTCAGAGAATGGACTGGGTCTACGTTTTGCAAACCGCCGCTCCGCCCTGGAGGAACGCCTAAAAGCAGTGCACGGCCTCGCGGGAACCGGAGGTGGAAACATCACAACGAGCGTAGCCAGAACAGGTGGCAGCCGCACTTCCTTCATGATCGAGTTATACGACGAGGAAAACCCTCGCAAGCGCCGTTCGTATTCATTTTCCCAGACTGCACCTCTGCAGGGGATAGGAGCTGGCGGGGAGGCCCTGTTTCCCCAGCCTCCCTCTCACCCCAAGGTGTTCAGCATTTCTACTTCTGCCTCCACAACCTCTGACTCAGGTATTAAATCATCATGGCTAATATATATTGTGACTCTTCTATAAAGATTTGTCCGTTCTTAGAGAACGTGCTCTGTGAGTAAGTACAATTTAAAAGAGATACATTAAGTTAAAGACATTTTAAAGGCTACATCATGTTTCGTTTTAAGTATTTCAAAAACTGAAGTCAAGCTTTAATCTGCTGAAGTTGCAGTAAATCTTTAATCAGGGGTTGTTTTTATTAAATGAAAACTATTGTTATGACATCATATAACGTTTGACAGCCCCAAAAAAGCCCAAAATGTCTGTATGTCATTTTTTTTGCTTTATTTGTTCTCTCTTCTTGTAGGTAAGGTCCCCGCTCCGCTGTCAGCCACAGTGACTGCTGGCGCCCCTACGGCTGCCCGCGTCCTTCTCAAGCAGAGGTCAGAGGACCTGAGTATCGGGCGCTGCTCGGTCAGTACCGGGCTGGCAACAGGAAGCCCCACGAGCCCCAGTGAGGACGCTTCGGTGGTGGGGAGGGGGGGGGGCAGCTGCTGAAGGGGAGGCAGAGGACGACCACAGCGATAAGGGGACCTACACTATAGAACTGGAGAACAGGAACGCAGAAGAAGAGGAGGCCAGGCGCATGATAGACAAGGTAGGAACGTTCCGAGATATTAGCAACAACTGTTACTTTTCTTGTGCTTAAAAAGGACATTTTTATTATGAGTAAATGCTTTTAAAACAACAGTTTGTGATTAAAAGAATGCAATTTATTGACCGTCAGCTGTGCATATAGTGCAAAAACCTACAATTCACATTAAATCTCATTACCCATTATGCAGATGTATACTAATGTCACTTTAATATAATCACACTTTATGATTTTTCTTTCTTGAATTCATTAATTAATAGTTGGATAATTGAGAACACTTATTTAAAGGGGACCTAAATGCAAATTTGTATGTCTTTTATACATAAACATGTGTCCCCGGTGTGTCAGGGAACTCACGCAGCGTCAGAAAATAAAACCCTCTCTCTTTTCCTCCGTACCCAAATCTCTAAAAACGGGGCTACAACGGAGCTGATCCAGATTTGCGTCCGATATGACGTAATATCGGAAATGTGGACCCACGGCCCTATCAGAAACGTTGCTATCAGCTAGCTGCCGGGTCCGCATGAGCTCAGCCCCCTCCTCTTTTTTTTTTTTTTGTCAATTTCTTTTTTTTTTTTAATGCTTTATACCCAAAATCAGCACTTTTGAAACAGGAAGTGAAATGGAGGGATATGAGGCATGGCTAGAATGGGTGATCTCATCTGTTTGGTATTTTGAGCAAAACACTTCATAGACATGTTTTTTATATATTTGTATAGATCTATGCTATTGCCTAAAAATAGCAAGATAGGTGACCTTTAAGCTGTAAACTGCATAGAGCTGGGTAATTATCTGAAAACATTGCCCCTCATGTGGATATAAAATACAATACACTTTAGTTTGCCACACTCTCTAGGTAGATTGTCTTTTTTAATGCTGTTCCACAAAAATACAGCAACACAATGCAACTCATTTTAAATCTCAGGCTCGGAGAAGAGCTGTGGAGATACTTTGTTTGAGTGAATTGCATAAAGTTTGCAAGTTGAAGTGGGGGTTATTTGGAGAACTATTTATTTTTTACTCTGACTTCATTAAGTTTAGATCCCTCATGTCCCTAGCTAAATCATAAATATCTTCCGTAGAGCCTTTGCTTATTTCTGACTGTATAAGTAGCCGGTAGAATTACAACGGCATAATTTCAACGTACTCTGCAGTTACTCCATAGAGAACACTTGGACTAAGCACAAACCCCAGAGCAAGGTTAATCGTCTCTATATTATCTGCAGCGTTGGCACTTTCAGGGTTAGCAAGTCCTTTGAGACTGGTCTGTGTTGTTGCCGCTAAAACAAAGCTATCTTCTCTCAGTTGCCTCGCTTGACCACCACTCGATCCTCTCATGTCCCATTGGTACACCTAATGCTTCTGTAATAGCCCGTGGAGGTTTGCATCATCAAGCACTGCACCGTTTCATTAAACGATGCTCCAGGGAGGCAGAAACACCACCATCTGTTTCTATACTGTGGTGCAGCAATGTCTTATGGTCACAGAAAACATGTCTGAAAGAGACAAAGCTACACTTAAGGGAGAGATGGTGTTATGGTTTTTTTTGGGAGGAAAAAGCTATCAATTAAAATAGTCAGAAGTTCCCTCGGCTTTAATTGCCACGTTCAAGATTCCAGTTAGGACTTTTTTTTTTATATAGATGGATGGATGGATGGATGGATAGATGGATGGATGGATGGATGGATAGATGGCTAGATGGATGGATGGATGGATGGATGGATGGATGGATAGATGGATAGATAGATGGATGGATGGATGGATAGATGGATAGATGGATGGATGGATGGATGGATGGATGGATGGATAGATGGATAGATAGATGGATAGATAGATGGATGGATAGATGGATAGATGGATGGATGGATGGATGGATGGATAGATAGATAGATAGATAGGTACTTTATTGATCCCAATTTGGGAAATGTTTGCGTTGCAGCAGCATAAGAGAAGCGAAGACACAGAAAATAAACATTCCAATATATTTCAGAAGTAGAAATAGAAATAAAATAACATTAAAAAGTTAAAAAATGTACTGTTGCCAATAAAGATTTATTATATAGCCTTGATTTAATCTATGCATTATGTCTTCTTAAAGAGGCTCATGTCTCTTTAAGTGTACTACACAGATGTTATCTTAGGAGCAGTGATTATAATGAGTGGGGTATATTTCTAGTCACTGTTATAGTCTGAGTGCATTACATTGAAAACTGGAAGTGTTGTTGTGCTAATTCCTGTAATTAACTGACACACTAATTGGCACACTGCTCCCAGTCCGTCCGCTCTCGTTCTCTTTTGTCAAGTGTGTGTGTGTGTGTGAGATTTCTGTTCGTTGCCATGGTACTAAACTATCGAGTGCAGATCGGTGCTTTAATTCAACAGCATCAACTCTAGAATAATATTATCATAATGTTTATTATATCATGAGATGATTTAAATTCAAGTGTGCTACAGCTTTTAGAGGGATACCGAATAAAGATTAATTGGAAAGTATGATAACACATAATGCCTTAAGATTTGCATATATTATACTGGAAATGTCCATCTTACGCCATATTGTCAGCTTTTGTTCGCTTCTGATTTTCTGTAATGTTTCTAGGTGTTTGGTGTGCAGCAGAACCAGGACTCCTCTCTTCTGTCAGACCTGAAGGGAGAAGATAAAGGAAAGGAGACAGGAGAGACGGGGAAAGAGGTAGAAAACCGTACAGTGTATTTTTCTTTGTTGTGTATTTTTTACATTCCTGTTCCTAGTTTTTTTTTCTTAGAAGTAACATTTCATTAACCACTATTTTCTCTCTTTCCCTGTCTGCCTTTCTCTACCTCTCCTCATATATTCACCTATACCCGAGTGTCCATTAGTACAACATTGATGTTGGGACTCATTACTTGTTTTGATTAGTTAAACCCAAGTGTACACAATGACCTCTCGCTCTCAAGTGTCTCATTATGCCTCACAGTATCAGTTCCAAGTTGTGGCTTTCCTTGTAATTGCATTCCACCGCAACAATCGATTCCTCTTATTGATGCTCTCCGACAGCTGTGCATGTACAGTGACGTAACACCTACGCACATGTTTCAATTGCAGAGAGAGAACCGCTCAATGTTAAGGCGCTAACAAAAGCTATTTACTCTTATTTCACCAAGCAATTTACCAGGGATCAATAAGGGGAATCTATAACAATTGAAATCTAATCAATTCCCATTCCTTCCTCTCAGGCCAGTGTAGTATAAAAGAGTTTCATAATGTGAGTCACAGTCCCTCCCGTGTCTTAACCCCTCCACTCCCCTTGCCTCTTCTTGGGAGTAGGCTTGTCCTCCCAGAGACTGACCTAGATCATACTAAGATGTGGAAAGACAAGTTGGCCTCCAGGCAATTTCATAGGAGGAGACACAGCGAATGAGCATTTCTAAGTCTTTTATGCAATTTAGCTAGATAGATATCTATTTCCAAGTAAAAGGACTTTTAACCCAGTGGGGTTTCTTTGGCACACAGGCAGTCTCCTAACTTTTCTTTATACCCCACCCTTCATTTCCCCAAACTAAATCATTTCCATCATCATGTTATATATTTTGGATCAACACAAAAATGTAACTCGAGATGTATGTTTTGTGCAACCACTTATTGACTGAAATGCTCTTTTTTCCCTCACTCCTGTGTCCTACTCTCCTGTCGCCCCACCCTCCTCTCTCGTGTCCCCTCAGGCTCTCACTGGCGACTCGAGCTGGGTCTCTGAGTGGGCCAGTCTAGCTGCCAATCACACCAGGACAGACCCGGAGGGCTCAGGAGCAGAAACAGCCGCCTTCCTCCACAAAGAGAGAGGTACATAGTCACTTTTAAAGCATGTACATCATAAAGCAGCAATTGGAATCACTTGAAGTTACTTTTATTGAAGAAAATCTTGAAACTCAGTTAAGTTTGTCCTTTCTTTCCAGTCACTGATGCCTTTGGGTCCGGTGCATCCCTCAGCCGAGGTGAATCCTCCTCCAGTCTGACCGACCGTAAGCGCAGGACCCTCCCCCAGCTCCCCGTGGATGACCCCCGGGCTAAATCCAGCGCCAAAGCTCTTGGTCTAAGGTCCGAGATTGGGGAGAAACAAGACACTGAACCCCAGGAAAAAGAAAACAAGGGAGACGGGGAGTCCCCGAGCCCCATGAGGGACGCTGAGATGACCGGTAAACGTAAACAGAGCTCCACGTCCTCGCCATCCAAGGCTTCTCTCCGGTCCTCTGGCAGCACTGAGCGGAGGAAGAGGTCAGAGGAGAGGAAAGGAGGAGGATCAGGGTCAGGAGAAGGAGGAGAGAAGTCTGGGAAACCTCTGGTGCGCCAAGGCAGCTTCACAATTGAGAAACCCAGCGCTAATGTCCCTACAGAGCTCATCCCCCGCATCAACAGAGGCGGCGGGCGCGAACGCAGCGACTCCGTGGGCAGCATGGACACCGCCACGCTGCTGAAGGACACTGAAGCTGTCATGGCGTTCCTGGAGGCCAAACTCAGGGATGAAAATAAAACAGACCACAAAAGTAGTAAAAGTTCTGCCCACAATCGGACTGAATCCATCTCCCCTGAGTCAGATGTTGACACGGCCAGCACAACTAGCCATGTGGCCGGAGAGGCGGAGAGAAAAGGCGGTGGCGATCACAAACGGCGCTCCTTCAGCAGCATGCACCGGGAGAAGAGCACCATTAGCACAGCGTCCAAGACCAGCACCACCACCGCGAGTGCCCGTGACCGCTTGGAGAGGAAGACTAAAACGAGAACTACAGAGTCGACCGGCCGGACTGATGCACGGCGCTCCGTTCAGCCGTCCTCCAGAGCCCGGCAGCCTTCCGTGGATCTCACTGATGACGACCAGACGTCCTCCTTCCCCATCTCTGACATCCTCTCCTCAGACCAGGAGACGTACTCTGGACCTATGGGGCGCTCAGCACACGGACGTGCCTCGGATGATGTTCTCAATTCCAAATTCAATAAAACCTCCACCAGTGGAATGTCCAAAACCAGGAGCTCTGTGCAGTCCGCCACCTCCTCCTCCATGAGCAAGCAGGCCGCCCTGCCTCAGCCGCGGCCCACCAGAGCCTCCCTCCTGCGCCGCGCCCGGCTGGGGGACACCTCCGACACGGACCTGGCTGACGCAGACAGGGCGTCCGTAGCCTCTGAAGTGTCCACCACCAGCTCCACCTCTAAGCCTCCATCTGGACGGAAAGGATTGTCGCGATTCGACATGCTGGCTCAGCCCCGGCGGACCCGTCTGGGCTCCATCTCGGCCCGCAGTGACTCAGAGTGTCTGGTGAGCCGGAGCTCCACCTCTTCACCCCGCCTGTCAGCAGAGACCGCTCTGCGTCTGGGGCTCCGCTCGTCAACACCAACTGAAAGCAGACTGACGCCCAGGATGAGAGCCAATAGCGTGTCCAAACTGAATGAGACCAAGACCAAGACCAATGCAGCAGGGTACTGCTCGCCCACAGGTGAGCACGACAACACCACGCCTCATTTCTGCTTCATTCTGGTTTCCTCATTAATGGTGGATAAAAGTATTTAGACATTTTACTTAAAATATCAAAACCACATTATTAAGTAAAATTCCTGCATTCAAAACTTTCCTGAGGTAAAATAAAAAGAGTCTTAGCATCAAACATTTTCTTAATTATGTTGATAATAAGCTTTCTGTGATACATACTATAACCCAGGTAGCTTATGAATTTGACCAACGGATCAGTAACATATCATTTTAATAACAAATGATACATGATCAATTATTTGTTGAATATATTTTGTATCATTAATCTGAATCTAAATATTCAAAGTCACTTAAGATCAGATGCGTATTGGAGTATAAGGTAGAATAACTGCCTCTGAATTAAACTATTAGCATAAAGTAGAAGGAAATTAAAATGATCAGGTATAGAAAAACGTTTCTTATTATATTACTTTAATAGGTGTTTCTTTGCAAAACAAAAGTAGTTGAAGGTTCAAGTCCAACAAGTGAACTCAATTGCATTCTGTACCTCATTTTGTGTCATCAGTGTGTCAACATTTGTCTGTAAACATTTCCACTGTGTTGTGGTTGTCATCGTCCAGAGAGCTCTCAGCCCGATCCTGAGGGCGGTGATGCAGAGGAGGAGCTGATGGGTACTGTACCACAATGTAGAGCCTTCATTAGACAGTGTGTGTGTTCGTGTATGTGTGTGTGTGTGTGTCAGACCCGGGTCTCATCAATAGAAGCCACTCACTTCTGTCAATGACTTCCAAGTCCTTTGTTTGGAAATAAAGACCGTTTTCTTGTTTTTTTTGCAGATTTAAATCTTGAAACTAAATAGAAATCATTCACCAGATGAACATTTAAATATAGTTAGTAGTGACACCACACATAAAGACATTTCAGTGAGTGAAGTAAGATGACCCAGCTCTGGCATATGTTGCCTTGTTAACTCTGTGTGTCCCCTGACATTCATCAAGTGATGCTGTGATGATGCTGAAGATCAAATGCTCTACTTACACGTAAAACGACTTTAACATGGGAGCTCAAACTTCAATACCCATAGGTGAATGGTTTCGGGAAAGTGCTCCACCCTGTGGGGATTTGCATTCATAGCACTTCCACTTTGTCCCATGTTACCCTTGAGAGACTGACAGAGCATGGTGCTGTCTCATCATGGTGCAGCTGGTGTGTGACTTTTCTTTAATGAGCTGAACGTAACCCTGGCTTTGACAAGGTCTTACGTACCTTGTTGGATGTGTGTGTTGCTGCCTGCATTGAGGATCATTTAGATAGTGGGCTGCTGCTTGTTCTGTTGTTTTCAGTGTGGTTTAATCATTGCGAAACAGCACATCTGTAGCTGTCCAATAACATCAACTTAACAAACTAAGATACACAATAAATCAAATGTTTTGCTTCACCAATCGTAATGACTGACAACCCCTTAATAAGACTTTAAATAAAGAAGGATGTTCAGGATGTATGTCTTTTTTTATCTTTGTAAAATCAAGAATATCTACATTTGTTTAGTCAATTATTGAAAAATGTCCCTACTCTTCTTCAGCTTTACTGTCAATAAAAGCTTGATAAATTGGAGGCTGCCTCAGTATCAAAGCTTCTCATGTTTCCAAGCTCATTTATTAACTTCATGAATAGCACATTATGTAATAGAACACTACAATGAACGCTGACTGAATGTATTTCCCTTCACTCCCTCCACAGTGGCCAGCAGCAGCCGGTGGAAACGTCTGCCTCCGGAGTACGGCTCCACCTCAGAGGAAGAGTTTGGCTCCAACAGGAACTCCCCGAAGCACGGAGGACGCTCCCACATGCGCCCTCACCACCTGACCCCCCACCGCAGCTCCAGACTCAGCACCAGCAGCCCCGGCTCCAGCGTGGTGACGGGGCCGGGCGGAGTAGTGATGAAACACCGCATGAGAGAGCAGGAGGAGTACATCAAGGACTGGACCGCACACAGCGAGGAGATCGCAAGGTACTGATCTTTTAACCGACCAAATAATTTCATGTCTCGTGAATCTATGTACGGTTTTAATATGATATTGTAATGCAAAGTGTAATAATAGCTCCTCTTAAAGGATAAAAGATAACCCCTTAAATGGCCATTTGTACATCAGAAGCTTACCATGGTTACCTGGAATACTTCACTGCAGTAATACTATATCAGAGTAGTATGCTCTCTACCGAACGAACGAATGCTTTTTTGCTTAAACCTTTCTTTATAATACACCTCTGCATGAACATCTTCACGCTTCGGTGGCGTTTTATTCGTCCGTGCAAATAGTGTTTATTGTTAAGATAAAAAAAAAACACGTTTTGGGAAGTATTCAGCATACGGTTCGATTTTTTAAGACGCGGGTTGTATTGCAAAGGTTGCATGTGTGAGTTATAAACAGTTATTTTTGTATAGTTTTGCTGTTGTTAAACATGACTCTTAATTTAAGAAATTGCTCCATTTCTGTATCCTAAAAAATTATTTAATATTCCTTTAATGGCATAGCTCTTATCCTACTGTATGTGTTGTTGTGATTGCATGTTGCATGTCTTCCCATCGATGTCTAAAGAACTCCTTCATCTGTCTGATGGTTAACAGGTTGTTCCCCTGTGTGCGTAGGATCAGCCAGGACCTGGCTAAGGACCTGGCCATCTTAGCGCGTGAGATCCACGACGTGGCGGGCGAGATCGACTCCGTCAGCTCCTCCGGCAAGCTGCACCCAGCACCACGGTCAGACCACCGCCGCCACCACCCCGGGATCAGCCATCGACACTGCGGGAAGAGGTAGGCCCTGCACGGCCCACGCAGCCGGACATACAGGAGGAGGCATGAGAAAGGTGCCTGTTCCTCTTCTTCATCAATGCCTGCTTTCATTGCGCCTCTGCCACCTCTCTCCTGAGTTGCTTGGGTAAAACTGGCCCTGTTGCTTTGTTGCTATTCATTGCCAAGAGAGGGTATTCTTTTTTACACTACCATTTGCTTCACTTTCATTCCTTTATTATATTTGCTAATTATTGCTTTACATACTTACCTCACTTCTTTCTTTATATTTCTTACTACTTACTTACTAACTAACAAAACCAACTAACCAACTAACTTAATAACCTAACAACTATACCACTATAACCAACTTACTAACCAACTAACTTAATAACTAACTAACTAACTCAATAACCAAATAACTTAATAACTAACTAACTTAATAACCAACTTACTAACCAACTAACTTAATAACTAACTAACTAACTAACTCAATAACCAAATAACTTAATAACTAACTAACTTAATAACCAACTAACTTAATAACCAACTTACTAACCAACTAACTTAATAACTAACTAACTTACTAACTAACTTAATAACCAACCAACTAACTTAATAACTAACTAACTTAATAACCAACTTAATAACCAACTAACTTAATAACTAACTAACTAACTCAATAACCAAATAACTTAATAACTAACTAACTTAATAACTAACTAACTTAATAACTAACTAACTTACTAACTAACTTAATAACCAACCAACTAACCAACTAACTTAATAACTAACTAACTTAATAACCAACTTACTAACCAACTACTTAATAACTAACTAACTTACTAACTAACTTAATAACCAACCAACTAACCAACTAACTAACTTACTAACTAACTTAATAACCAACCAACTAACCAACTAACTTAATAACTAACTAACTTAATAACTAACTTAATAACCAACTACCTAATTAACTAACCAACTAACTTAATAACTAACTTAATAACCAACTAACTCACCAACTAACTTAATAACTAACTAACTTAATAACCAACTAACTTAATAACTAACTAACTAACTTACTAACTAACTTAATAACCAACTAACTAACCAACTAACTTAATAATGAACTAACTTAATAACTAACTAACTTACTAACTAACTTAATAACTAACTAACTAACCAACTAACTCAATAACCAAATAACTTAATAACTAACTTAATAACCAACTACCTAATTAACTAACCAACTAACTTACTAACTAACTTAATAACTAACTTAATAACCAACTAACTTACTAACTAACTTAATAACTAACTAACTTAATAACCAACTAACGTAATAACTAACTAACTTAATAACCAACTAACTTAATAACCAACTAACCAACTAACTTAATAACTAACTAACCAACTAACTTACTAACTAACTTAATAACTAACTAACTTAATAACCAACTAACGTAATAACTAACTAACTTAATAACCAACTAACTTAATAACCAACTAACCAACTAACTTAATAACCAACTAACCAACTAACTTAATAACTAACTAACTATGGGATTTGATCTGAATTTTCGACCTTTACAATTAAAGATTTAGCGTTCTCTCTGACAGAGTTCACGTTTCTTTCCTTTCTTAAAAACCTGATTTTAATCAACTAAAACGAAACAAACTAAAATAAATAAAGCTGGGATAAAAATCCAAGAAATATCTTTATGTTTTTCAATTGTATTTCTACATCTCTCCCGGTCCTTGCCCAGTTGGTGGATCGGGTGTTTGATGAGAGCCTGAACTTCAGGAAGATCCCGCCTGTGATTTCAACCAATAAGGCTCCAGAGATCAACGGTAAGCCAGTGGAGCTCCGCCCCCGGGCCCCTGACACTCTGGAGCCCCGAGCGCTGAGGAGACGCACCTGGAACCGAGAGGAGGTGAGACGCATCACAGGACATCAAAAATATACCAACATGGCGGCTTTCTGCAGTCGCGTTCAGATTGTTAAACTTGCTTTCCTCTGTGTCTCCAGGCCGTGTTGGACAGCCTGCTGCTCAACTCAGTTTCCCAGCTGTCCACTAAGATCAGGCACTCCATCGACAAAACAGCAGGAAAAATCAGGTAATTATACGTTGTGATATTATAACTGCTGGGAGTATTTAATAGTGTATTGATCAGTCAGTGTGCCGTTGTGTTGCTCTGTCTATCCACTGTGAAAAAACAATATTGTGTTTTTTCTTCAGGATTTTGTTTAAAGATAAGGACAGGAACTGGGACGAAATTGAGAGTAAACTGCGGACAGAGAGTGAGATACCAATGCTGAAAACCACCAACAAGGTACAGAATCTGAGTCTCTGAGTATTATTTGCTGACGGAAGTGCAGTTGTATTGACTCATAATAATTGACTTGTTTTCTTTCTTCCTCTCTGTAGGAGTTCTCCTCAATTCTGTTGGAATTGAGGAGAGTTGAGAAGCAGCTTCAAGGTAAAAACTAGGGCTGTCAAACGATTACAAATTTTAATCAGATTAATCACAGCTTAAAAATTAATTAATCATGATTAATCACCATTCGAACTATGTCCAAAATATGCCATTTATTTATGCATATTGTTGTGGGAATGGAAAGATAAATGAAAGAAGGCGGATATATCCATTTAACATACAGTATCTATGTTTATTATAACATTTTTCTGCGTGTCAAAATGAAAGACAACCCACACACCTATCAATCATCAAACCGTGGGGTCTTAATTCATTACGTGTTGATTTCTATCAACGGGGGAGTACTTCAGGAAAGTCGACAGGGGGGGGGGGGGGGGGGGGGCGGCGGCTAGTGGAGTACTTCGTGACCACAGAGTGTGAACGTTGTGATCAGCTGTTTTAGCGCAGTTCTCCAGTGAAGGGGGGAGTCTCCCTCCGCCACGGGTTGGCGTAGTTTTGGCACAATTTCGTTGTACAGACCGACGTTAACAGCAGCCCTGTCTGTGCACACGGAGACCGACTCTGTCGTCTGGTGATCTAACCGCCTTCTGGAAAAGCTTCACAAGTACGTCGGTACGCAAATGCACTTTGTGACACAAGTACGCATTTCAGATTACGCACATAACCTGCGTACCAGTTATGTGCACCCCTGTACTACAGCAAAAGTATTCTCCGTCGGGACTTCCTGCAACAACACCACGCCATTATCAAAGATGTTCTATTGAGAAGACGATCGCTACGTGACAAAAGTTTTCAAAACCGTGGCTACTGAAATCAATCTTACTAACTGCTGTCTGTGCAATTTACTCCGCGCGAGTTGGCAGACTTTATTTTGCTTACTTTAACATCATTGTTCAAGGTGGGGCTAAGCCATTTCTTGGTATGGGTGTAGACTACCCCAGCCATACCCTGGCGCTGCCACTGGTGGCACGTATGGGGCGGGCCATTCTGCACATGCGTTAAATGCGTTAAATATTTTAACGCAATTAATTAAAAAAATTAATTACCGCCGTTAACGCGATAATTTTGACAGCACTAGTAAAAACACAAACATAATCCCACCAGTACTAATAACATTTGTGAATTTAGCTTAACGACTACACACTTTAACAAGACGTCGTTTACATTTATGTGATAAGATGCATGGTTTTATTTATTTATTTGAACTCCATAGTGAGGGCATAGTTAATGAAGACAGAAAGAAGCAAAACTAAAACTAAAGCTTTGAACACTTTGCTTCCAATCTGAAGTATTTCTCAATAATGTAAAAAAGCAATAACTATAGAACTAACAATTAACACTCAAAAACTAGGCAAAACATGTTTTAGGGAATTCAAATACAAACCAAGAGCTTAATTTTCAAAACACTTCAATCACTAGACACACTTTAATCTTCTCTCTGTTTCTGTCCCAGTGATCAATGTGATGGTGGACCCTGATGGGACCCTGGATGCTCTGGCCAGCCTGGGCCTGACCAACCCCACGACTCCCACCAAGCCCCTAACGGCCAAAACAACTGCCACCAGCCCGGGGTCTGCTCCCCCAGCCAAAGAGTCCCTGCTGGAGACCCTCCCGGGGCCCGGAGCCTCTGCCAGGGTCCAGGTCTCCTCTGCCATCACAGAGGAGACGGCTCGAGACCCCGGCCTGAGTCTCAGTCTGACGGCGGTCGGGGGGCGGCCCTTCAACCGCATGAGGCCGAGCGGAGAGGAGGCCATCGCACAGAAGTGAAGTTTCAATGTCATGTGAATAAACTTTTGATTTGGAGTGAAAGCGGCTAGTTATCAGAACAACAAAGAAACATTCAAACAGTTGCCATTCAGCTGACTTAACCACTCCAGGAATATAACACAAACACAATTTAGTTCAAGTTTCACCAGACCTGTCCGGAAATGAAGTGCTTCAGCTGACTGTAACCCAAACCGATGCAACATGGATACACCCTCATATGGAAATTCACCCATGAGTGATTTGGAGGATCCTTTCAGCTGTTATTGCTCACAGGACAACCTCAAGCTACCTGGCTGCTCTCAGTGGACACATCTCTGTTCAGTCTCTCTCCTCCTCTTGCCTTCTCCATGTGTCTGGACCCCACCTACACTAAGGACATGCCTTAAAACACTTCCTCTATAGTAGCCGCCCCTCAACCTCAAATAATATACAGAACAACTTTATTACAGTACTTTCAGACAAACAGAATGCATTGTAACATAACATCTTATGCAGAATAAGTTTTATTTACACTATGCTGGAACACTGCAGTGATTTTATAAGCTCTTGTTCAATACAAAGGATATGTCAGCAGCCTTATAGCCGACCCCAACATACATGTTTTATGCCTAAAAGATAACCCTAACCGTCCATTGATGCGTCTCTGAAACTGACTGACTAATAAGTAGTGCCTCCCAATATCTGTGCCCCCCTGTTTCTCCTTCTTTCATTATGTTTTACTCTTTCCCTCCCTTCCTTTTCCTCCCAAATAGAACAAGATTGTCCCTCCAGTAGCATGTACAGGACCGAGCTGAGAGCTTTCCTCCTGCAAGTTGGTGTCTGTGTTGATCTTACTAATACTGAATGGTAGTTTTACACAAGAGTAGTAACGGCCTTTGGGAAACCAATGATCATTTTCAGGCTAAATAATCACTTACCAAAGTTAACACGTCGTGTTATTTTCAAACAGTGGAGCCATCTTGAAATGTGTTGTGCAAAAACCTGAGAATCTGAATTTAAAATATGGCAATTCATCTCATACGTCTCATATTCCTCTGCAGTTCATCCCTTTCTCTGAATGTCAAGATCATTTTCATTCAAAAAGCATATTTATTTTAATGAAACACTAGTTTAATCATCGCTGCCATCTTGTTTTTGGCCCATGTGACATTGCCTCTGAGAATCTGTGCCCTTTCCACTCAAGTGCCCTATGATTTCCAATTGGCTTTTTTCTACTTTTTACAGTTGCGGGTGATTTTTTTAAATAAGTAATGATGAGAAAAAAACAAACATGGTTCCAACTAAATATTTTATAATATTTAAATACTGATATTGTAGATATTTTAAACCTTTTACTTTTTAATACTTAAAATGCACATTCTCACATTACAACGTTTTTTATCACGCCCTACTGTATATACACACAAAACCTAAAAAGCTACTGGAATTGGTTTTAAGGAACTCTTTGTTGAAGAAAGTTTTGGGGAACGTCAGCGAGTAGAAATGAACACAGCTTTGAAAATAAGCCCCTGTCTACTCTATCTATTTAGCTTGTAATGCGGCTCATATCAGGGTATAACGTTGCATTGTTCTTCACCAAGGAGGGGGATTTCCAAGGTAATGATACTGTTGAGACAATATGGTTAACCTCACTTTCATTGCATTTGCTGCTTTTCTTTATGGGACTAACCATTTTTCTAATTTCCCCTTCAGCGTATAGTCTGTGTTCTAGAGCAAGATGACTTAAAGGCAGTGTATTAGTACTTAGATGCTCTTGCAATAGTGAATTTAGGTACCAGAATACGTTCATTTTGTTCTCTCTATACTGTACTGTACATTTTTTTTCAATGCCTCGAAGTGCCCGTGTTGACTATTCAAGGGCATTGATTAAAAGAAAAGAAAAAGACGTAGCTGTCTGAAAGATTTCTCTTATTTTGCACATCAGATTGTGGCGTTTTTCATACAGAAGAAGTGAAGAAGCAGTGGGGGGCTGCATCAAATGTCAATTGGTTTGACAGGAATGATATCACTTTGATATGAGAAGTGACTGCCTTGCCACTCTGGAGCTTTTCTGTCTGTAAAATCAAAGCCGCTAATCATGATTTCCCCCTCCCCCCATTGTATCAAAAGACATGAAATGAGGGGACTGTGAATGCTAGGTACATGTTTATTTTTGAAATTCTACATGTGTCATCTGATCAGTGTTCTTTGTCATTTTTGTAAAGAAAAAACATCATTTTATTTTATTTATTTTTTGTTTAATATTCTGTGGATTTGTCATGTATTTTATATTTGTTCCACTATCTGCAATGTTTCTTACTGTTAATAAAACAGAGCCATTCACTTGTGTCCATTTATTTGGCTGGATATTAAACATGTAGACAGTATGCGTTTATATACTGCAGTGTAGACAGTATATAAAGGCATTCAACTTGATTTCCTTCAGAGTAGTTTCTTTGTATTTTTGCTTTTAAAGTTAAGCTGTGTTTCAACGACCAATGTCACAACGAACATATATATACATTTATTCCAAAACTGGATTTCTTAACACCTCTACAGGGACTTTTTAATCAAAGAAAATACATGAATTCAGACCAAATGTCCCTAATTCTTACAGATAAAAAAAAA